ATTGCTATCAACATCACCATGACCACGATCTATTCATCATCATCATCATCGCCACCACCACCACTGTATCATCATATCACTGTCACTACAGAATCACTAAAAACATTGAACTCATAGAGTTTTGTCTCACGACCTTTTTTATTCAGTAAGTTCACACACAGTAAGTGCTCACAAAACGGAGACTGGGTCAATGAACACATAAAGGGATGAGGGTGTAATATGTAAGTATTATAAAAACTAGATCACAGGTGCAATGGGCAAAGAACTCAGCAAGTCAAGGAGGTCTGGAGGAGGTGTTATCTGAGGTCAGTCTCATGACCAAGATTTCAGCAGGTGGCTAGGCGGAGATCACGTTCCAGGTAAGACAAATGGAATGAGCAAATATACAAAGAATCAAAACCAGACTTCACTGTGGTGAAGTAGACTATGACAGAGGAGAACAAACACTCAGGGGGACACACAGGCCTTCTCAGATGTCTCTCCTGGACTTCTTTCTGGGAAGCTACCAGGGGACGTGCCCATGAATCAACACACTAACAGCAGTACCTGTAACAAAGAAGAGGAAGTTACAGGAGTTGAAAGGACTCAGTTCCAAATCACAGTGACCTGAGCATCACGAAGACAGCACAATGGTGGTCATCTCAGTGCAGGCACAGAAGCTCCTGTGGAGAGACCTTCTTAGCCACACACACCAGTACCCAAGACAGGAGATCAAAGGCCAGGAACCAGCTTGAGGGTAGTGACAATGAGGGGCAGGAAATGAGGGTGGAGTGGATCTGAGGGGAGTGTTTCCCATCACAACCTTTATAGAACTGTTTGAGAGATGTCTCTTTACAATAGCAGCAAAGAAGCTAACTTTAAAAAGTACCATTTTGACACTATTAGATAGAAAAGGAAAATGGAGACATTAATGACAGCTAATTATAGCACCTGGAGCTGTGGGCACCCTGTAACTACTTCTGGCGGTTTCTGTGGGCACACACACCCTTTGCCCCCAGCATTCATGCACACATGGGCCTCAGAGAAACCTTTGTACATGTCTACAGAGCCCCAAGGTCTTCACAGCAGCTTAACACACAGCACTGGAGACTCCTGTGACCTGGGATCAGAGTCTGTGAGCACAGAGCCCTCACACAAGGGACTGCCACCCAGAAGAAAGGAGAAATGGCCCTTGGGCCTTGGAGAACAGCCCAGATGCACTGGAAGAAAGTGAACATTCCAAGAGGTAAACTAAGTCACCTCCCTGGGGACATTATTAATAAAATCCAAACACAGGGGGAACCTGTGTGCCATGCTTAAGGAATCTGCAGCTAGCCTAAGACTATAAACGAAAAACAAAAGGAACAGCACAGGGCATGGCTACCTTAGAGAAAAGCACTGGCCCTTGCTGCTGGCTTCTGACCTCGTGCCTCATGGCTGTGCTAGATGCCTGGCTCCGTTAGCATACACTAGACATACTGCAGTGTAAACAGGTTAAAAAAATAAGCCACAACAAGAAAACCAGAAGGCAGCCCAGAGGACAGCAAGAACAGTGCCTTTCCTTAACTGCTCAACACAGCCTGGCCACACATCTCTTTGCCATGGTTCCTATCCTTCCTAGAGCTCAACCTCCAGGAGCCGTGGACCCCGACAAAAGCAACATTACAGATGTAGAGACCAAAAGAGAAGTGATGATCAAAGTGTGGAAAGACAGAGAACAAGATGTGGGAGCAGGTGGGGTCTGGACAGGAGCCAGGGGGGCAGGAGCCAGGCCCAGGCAGCACCTGTGTAGCCACCCACATGCAGAAGTGGGAACGCAAATCAGATTGTGGGGGTCTGGGGCTGGGCCTGGGCAGCACCTGTCATAGGTCCACACACAGAACCGGGGGCACACAGATATTTCCACTCAAATGTTCAGTAGCTCTCCTGTGCCTCTTCCAAGCCAGCCCAGCTGAGCGATGGCTTCTTGTCACAGACAGCCCAACTTGATAGATCCCTAATTTCCCTTTCATACCTGCCTGACAGCCCTGGCGGTGGCCCAGGCCAGGTGACAGGTTGGGAGGAGAGCACAGGTCATGTCCTCTCTTGATGGCAAACATCTCAGATCTGTGGCCAGAGGACAGCCTAGCCCTGGCTCCTGCAGACAGATAACAGGGTGCCAATGTCTGACTCTCCCACAGCAGTAGGGGGTGGGGCAGGAAAGGACTATGGCAGTGAGCACATGGCCACAGCAGGTGCAGAAAGCCCCGGAGACACCTGGACACTGAGCCACTAACAGCAGCAAGCAGATATGGCTCTCAGAACTGCAGTAAGCAATTCTGCCACTCCATCCTGTGGGACTTAACCCATAAAGGATTCTGTGGGGCTTTGTAGGCAAGACTCTGGAGAGAATCTGTCAGAACAGATGGGACACACTATCTCCAAGGACCAATGGCACTGACCCCCAGGAGAGTTGCCACTGCGTGGGTTAGCCGGAAACTAGTTGTGACTGCCCAGTGGTATGAAGAATACTTCCTACATGACTCTTGGCTTGTGAAATGGACACCAACTAGATGTACATAGCCCCTGACCATAGGACACACCACATGTCTCCAGACCTGCTGTATGGTTGTCCCTGGGCCCTATGAATCCCAAACATCAGGCTGAGGCAGGAGAGAGAAGAAAAGGGAATCTTGGAGACATCATCTGACCTCAGAATTCTTCAGTACCTAAGCTATGGGCCACTGAGTCACGTGAGTCAGTATTAACTCTTTTACAGCCAGTGCCACTCAGTGGGTATCACAGGCACCAGAACTAACCTCATGACATTCAAGGCAGAAATTCTGGTCTTTGGACCCAGTTCTATTTGGCTCTGTTAACACTGTGACCAGTCTCTGGACTGTCCACACCAGGATGACGACCATCCCTCCTAACTCTCTGTACACTGCCCTTTGGCAGGGCACTGAGCCCAAGAGGATGAACTTCATTCCAGAAGGACAGGAGAACACTGCAGCAAGAGCTCACTGCAACTGCTGGATGAGTCCAAGGTTGCCTGAGATGCAGTCCTGCTGTCTCAGCTATAGGACTCCCCAGACCTCCACATCGCCCTCTGGTGGCACAGCTCTGCATTACAGTTCAGAGGGAGGACAGCCATGTCACCTGCTTGCAGTCAGTTTCCTAAATGGTGGGGCCAGAAAGGATGATAGATAGGAGTGGGCTGGGCTGAGACATATCCCAAGTGATCTTGGTTAGCATCACTTTTTAAGTCAGGCTGAGGGTGCTGGTGCTGCCATAGATGCTCTGGTGATGGCTATTACAAAGCCTAAGAGGAACTGGCACACAGTGGGATCTACTCTGAATACTTCAAAGTCCCTGAGATGAGGGATCACATCTGTGTGTCTCTGTGCCCTGAGAGAACCCAACATAACCTTGTCCCTTGGAAAGAGAAGCCCAGCTGCCCCTGGTCCCCTGAGTGCAGAGCTAGACCTAAGGAGGACTCCTGACTCACCTTCCCTGGTGGACACTGAGCCTGTCCTGGGAACTAAGAGGCAGCTCAGCAAATCCAGAGGAACCATCTCCCCTATATAAAGGTCACTGTTCATACAACCAAAGGCATCCGAGCGATCTCTGGAAGCAAGCCTTCTTCTACAAGAACTCAGGGTCCAGAGTCCCTGTCACCTCTTGCACCCACACCTTCGGGCTCTTTCCACTGCCTCCTCTTATGGACTCAAGTCTTGTCCAAGAGCCCCAGGACCTTAGCCTCATCCACTCCATCATTCTGGAGAGGCCTGGAAAATTACCTGACAGCTATCATGGGCCATCTAAATTGTTCTCCAGTTATCTTTCCAAGGAAACATCCAAACAGAAGAGCCAGGATGTCACCTGGCTCCCACCCAGTGTCAAGCACACCTCAGCCCCACCCACTTCCTTCAGTGCATAGCCACCTCTCCATCATCTTTATTTCATCACCTCAGAGTGAATGACAGACATTACTGGCACCACCTGAAGCCTCTGGCATGTGCCACGTTGCTTCAGCAATTGTGTCAGGGGCCCGAGTCGATGAGATTGACAGCAGTGGCTCTGGGTGATGCTGATACTCCCAAAGAGAGGAGGTTCATGGCACCCTTTTCAGAGGACCACCCTACCCCTGCCCGCACACCACACTGAGTTGCTCTGATAAATAAATATCAACAACCAAAGCCAACAGTTTATACAACAATGTCCTGAGCCCTCCCAGGGCGTGGCCATCTAGGCTGGCAAATGTCAGGACTCTGTGATAGTCATTCTGCCGATAGGTCTGCACCGTCCCTTCACACTCAGGTGACCACCAAGACCTTTGGGACATTGCATGTCCACACAGAGAGTTGTCAGGGCAGCTGTACTCCCAGGACAGTTCCCTTTCTTGGGCCTCCCTAGAAGGCTCCACAGAGTGTTTTATAGATGCAGCCCACATCTTGCAGCCCACAGAGGAGCTGCAGATGCTACAGAGGCTGCTGACAAGGCACATCCAGGATGGCCAGGTATGACGTCCCCAGGTTCCCAGTGCAGCTCTGTCTCATGGCAGTGGTCACACCCTGCAACCCACAGTCACAACTCAAGCAGTGGCTTTGAGTTCTATCTGAACTCTTGGTATCCCAGACATGTGGGGGAATGTGCAGGTGTCCTGTCCAAAAGCAACAGTCTCCTCTCTTACATATGTTTCCCTCTGGGCACATCTGTCCCAGAGATCCCTGTTACATCTTCAGCTAGCATGTGGCATTTGAAGAATGAGTCCCTTCCAAAAATAAACCAGGACACATCACATACACTGAGCAAGCACTTCTCTATGGCCTTGTGGGCTCAACACTAACTGCCCAAGCACTAACTTTGGCATGGTGCTAACCAAGTATCTGTGTGTGCTAAGGCCTCACTCAGGCACTAATGTCACTTCGGTAGTAATGGGAGCCACAATGACTGTAACAGAATCCGAGACAAGAACATGAGCAAAACCACCAGGAACTGAGGTCAAATCAACACAGATAAAAAAAGAAAGCCACTCTTACCTCTGGATCCTTGGTCACATCTGATGTGTCCCCTCCAGCAAAGAGAAGGCCTGCCTGCAGGGCTCCTTCACACAGCTCTCAGTTAGCACAGACTCTGTCAATCACATGCAAAACATTAGAGCCATGTGAGTACTGTTCCCAAAATGCAGCTCAGTGTAGACCCCAGGGCATAAAGTGTGGTGGCTTTGGGGGCCTCACTGGGGAGAGAGTCCCTGCTCAGGGGTGCTGCTGTAAAGTGCTCTGGTTCCCTTGCACTCCTCCAGGCACGCCTCTCACTGTGCCCCACCCATACGCTCCCAAGCTGTCACGGTCATGTTTAGATCTTCATTCTATACACGCCCATCTATCCTGGATGCATTGAGTCTTTCTACTCCAAGGCTGCCAGTGCACCCTCTGTTTCCTGGGCATTTTTGGTTGCTGCAGAGTCTCGGAGGGGCTGCCTACTGTCTGTGCTGGGCTACCTAAGGGATGCATAGGGAGGGGCCAGGTGGGCTCACTTCTAAGCAGGCCCAAGAGCGGCCCCTGATTTTCACGAGTCCATTTCTAATTCCTCTGCTGCCCTCATCTCCATTTCCTATGATTCTAGATGTCCCCTTGTGGTCTGAGGCAGCAGGGATGTGATCTGAGGCTCCTGCCCTCTCTGCCTTTAGGCCCCTTGTTTGGGTTCTCTGCCCTCTGACTAGGATTTCCTCAGGTCCTTCTCCATGCAACCAGATGCAGAAAGCAGCCAATCCCTGCCAGGGCACTTCCCTCTCCACTAGGATCCCAGAGGCTTTGGGGAAGTGAAGAAAAAAAGACTCAGGATGCTCATCCTTTTAGAGGCTATGCTGATTGGGAGAGCAGAGCTCCAGACTCCAATCCAGCCAGGCCACTGGCTCAGCCATCAATGCTCCCTACGGTGCCTAGAATAGGAAGGAAGAGCCTCACACCTTCTTCTGCCTTGTCAGGAATGGAGGGTACCATCATGGAACCTTAAAGCTTTCAGTGCCCCTCACTCATCAGTGTGTCCCAGGAGCACCAATGGCCACGGTAATCCAGACTCTGAGACTGCCAAATGAACCAATTCCTTGTGACTTCACAGAACCCACTGGTTACTGCAACCAACTCCAATGTCACATGGACCCCAAAGACACATTTTCTTCCCTGTCCTGGAGATACTGTGCATTGAAAAGGACCAGGCTGGTGGCTGGGGTCCCGTGCACTCAGTTGCATGCATGCTGAGTCTGGTTTATCCCCTCCAGGTGCTGCCGCCCCCACTGCATCTCACTGTGAATTGCTCAGACTGTCAGCAAAACATAAAAACAGCTGCTGCCAGAGCCAAACTCACGCAGCCTCCTGTCTCATCTGCCCTCCAATTAATAGCTTCCAGGTCGCTGTGGCCGATGGGAACATCTGTGTTCCATCTCTTCAGCCCACAGATGTGGAGGGGGGGTGTTCCCACTTTCTGGGGACACCATCTCAGAAACACTTTATCTTTAAAGCAAATGTGTTTTCCCCAGTCTCCTGGTGCGATAGTGTGTGTGCTCACACTTGTAACATCGCTTGGCTGTGCTGCCCCCAGAACCACTTCCGGCATCTGTCTGCAGACCACATGGGGCCCATGAAGAAATTCTCATGAGCCACATGGTGGTGAGTGAGGACTGAAGTCCATATGGTGAGTCACATACGAAGCCACAGAGGAGAAAGTGCTCTTTAGAAGATCAGATCTAAACAGCAGTGATGAGCTGTTTCTAAAACTTTTTGCTGGGCATAGTGGTGCATGCCTTTAATCCCAGTATTCAGGAGGCAGAGGCAGGCTGATCTCTGTGAGTTCAGGGCCAGCCAGGGTTATATAGTGAGAGAGACTCTGTCTCAAACAAACACAGCTTACTTTCCCCAAGTATAGGAGACAGAGGGCAAAGTAAGCCCTGCCCAGTCATGAGCTTGGCTCCCACAGCAGAATGAGCTGCTCAGCTTCATGAGTTTTATGACCAGAAACTGCAGCTTCCTTTATTTAACCTGTTTTTTTATGAGATTCATCCTTTTTAAAATTTTTAAGTGGGGAAAATACACATTAAGATTCACCACTTTTAAAGTACATTTGTGCAGCCTTTACCATTGTACACACACAACTCTTCTCATCTCCCCAAAAGAGGCTCTAGATGCCCCCAGTGCTTCCCCAGCCCCAACTCTCCTGTGGCTTTACTTTCAGCGTCTTTGGGTCCGACGGCTCAGGGACTGCACCGAGATGGACTCACAGCATTGTGTTTGTTCTTATGCCCACCCACCCAATACACACCTGTGTGTATATGTGTGTGTGACTCAGGGACTACACTGAAACAGATTCACAGCACTGTATTCATTCTCCTCCCCGCACCCCTGTGTGTGTAGATGAGAGGTCAACATTAGATGTCATCTCCCCAGACCCTAGTGCTTTATCACTGGTTAATTCCCTTAGTATAATCCCCAAGGCTCATCCATGTTGTTGCATGGGCTGGAACATCTTTCTTTTTACAAGCTAATGTTTCACTATATAAGTGGCTCACATTTTGTTCATCTGGGAATGGACAGCTGGCGGGCTTTGTGATTTTAGCCATTGTAAACACTGAAGCCTTCAGCACTTAGGGTTTGTGTCCAGAAACTGACTTGATGGCTCATAAAAGCAGTTCTGTTTTCTTGAAGGGCATCTGAACTATCTTCCAGAATAGCTGGACCACTTTGCACTCCCACCACAGTGCACGAGGTACCTGATCCTTGTCTTCCTGACGCTTGTGATTTTCTACTTCTTGGGGTTAGCTCAGCTGGTGCATGTCTTCACTGTGGGTCTTGTTTGCATATCCAAACGATGAGAGAGATGGTCTTGATTGTCAACTTGACCAAACTTAGAACCAGGATGGAAACACACCCTCTGGGTATGCCAATGAGGGTGTTTCCAGAGGCTTTTCTGAGGATGGAAGACCCACCCTGAATGTGAGTGGCACCATTCCCTAGGCTGAGATCCCAGATGGAATAAGAAGTAGAAAGCAAGCTGAGCACCTGCAACCATCTCTCTCTGCTTCCTGGCTGTGGATGCAGCGAGACCAGCTACCTCATGCTCCTGATGCCATAACTCCCCAGCCACAAGGGATTGAACCTTAAAATAAATCCTTCCTTAAGATTTTTTCAAATCAGGTATTTTGTCACTGTAATAAGAAAAGTAACTAAACAGCTGGCAATAACCAGATTTTTCTCACATGTAGTTTTTAATGTTTATTTTATTTTTTTGTGTGTGCCTGGTGTATGTCTATGCACCACTAGCATGTAAGAACACACAGAGGTAGTAAGAGGGCATCAGATCTCCTGGAATTGGAGTTATAGGAAGTTGTGAGTCACCATGTAGATTCTGGGAACCAAACCAAGGTCCTCTAGAAATGCAGTAAGAGTTCTTAACTGCTGAGCCATCCTTCCAGCTCCATCGCACAGAGCCTTATGGTCAATGGGCATGGACTGATGGGCATTGCAGTGTGAGGGATGCAGTGGGACTTATTTCTTCCAAAGATTGTTCTTTTCTTGGCAGCCCACCACAAAGACTTCCACCTGCAGCTCCATCCATGACTCACCTTCTATCCTCCATTCACTGTCATCCATCCATCCACTGACCATTCACCCATTATCTACTAACCTTTATTTTCCATCAAACCACCCACCAGTCCATTACACCCATCATCCATCCATCCATCCATCCATCCATCCATCCATCCATCCATCCACCTTCCATTCATATATCCAGAACCCATCTCTTTCCATCCACCCATCCATATGCCTATTTATCCATCTACTCATTCTTCCCTCATCCGCCTTCCAATTCATCTGTGCATATTCCATCCACCAATCCACCCACCCACCCATCTATCCATCTATCTATCCACCCACTATTCCTCTACCATCCACTTGCCTGCCTATCACCCATCTGCCTACCCACCATATATCACCCATTCACTAGCCAGCTGCCTATCATACCCACTGAGTCCTGAGAGTATTTGTCATTGTGATCCTAGCCCAGTCATTTCCCTGTTTAGATCACTGACCACTGACTCCTGCAGATGCTGATGGGCCTGCTCAGGCCTCTCTCTTTGGGTCTGGCTTTTACAGGACTCTGTTCACAGCTTCCTGCCTATGAGGCAGAGGTCTCCACCACCCCTCACTCACTCCTTGACTGCTCTTGGCTTAGACGTTGTGCAAAGCAGCCATTCTACATTCCCTTACAGCCTGGCTCCAAATTCAAAGACATGGTGTTCTCTGGGCTTTGCAACGATTGGTGCTTTCTAGCTGAGCCTCCTTTCTGTGAGTCTCCCCAGCCTCCCTGGGGAGGCTGTGCCATAGTTACCTCTCTTCCTATGTACCTCTTTTCTTTGTTAGCACAGTAGCAGTAAGGGCTTGAGAAATGGCATGGGCATTTTCCTGGGAAGGCAGCCTAGCTGAACACCACAGTATCTCACTGAACGCCCCCAACAACCCTGCAAACAGGCTCTGTGAGTGCACATTCTCTCTCTCCCTCTCCTTCAGATAAGGACCTGTGAAACTCAGAGAACAAGTAAGCGGAAATCTCACTCTGATTCCAGAACGCTGATCAACTGAGACTGCTCAGCTCAACTGCCAGCCTGGAGTGGGGACCTCACCAGTGTGGTCCTCACATCCCCGAACTGAAAATAAGAATAAGTGGACAGATGCACAAGCAACAAGTGTTTGAGTGAAGAATCAAACAGCAGCTTAGACGGAAGCCCAGGAGGAAGTCCTGGCAGCTGCCCCTTACGGAAGGGTTTCTGGATATTTCACAGATATGCTCTCAGGACCAGGCTCCTTTCCTTGGAGACAGCAGTGGCAGGAAGGTCAAGCACAAGTGCAAAGCAAGACACTGTGGACAAGAGCCTAGGAATCTCTTACCCCCAGTTGTGTGTAATTAATTCAGCTTCTTGGAATTTGGACAAGGCCTGAGGAGTAAGTGTCAGGGTAAGTGTCTGATTTCTATGCTGTGGTCGCTCAAGTCACAGAGGCCACCTAGAACTACCGAGTTGCTCAGAACTGTGACACACAACAGGGCACTCCTCATGAAGGGCAGGTCTCACACAGGCCTGAAACTCAGTCTGAACCTCACAGGAGGCTGCTGTTCTTGCTGAGAGCTATTGATAAAACACTCCATCTTTGCTCTCGGTGATGAAAGGAGGGTGCGGAAGGCTGGGAAGCTGGAAGTTGGGGTGCTGGGCTAAAAGTGGGTTAGGAGTGGGGTCCCAGTTGCTCCCCTCCTCATCTCCACTGGCTATTGTCTGGCTATTGTCTGTTTCCCTCTAGGAAGGAAACGAGCCACCCACAAGCATCACTCTTTGTCCCTGCACTGGGCACCAAGTCTTTGCTTCCCTGAGTCTCCACTTGCCATGCATGTGAGTGGTGCTTGATGTATACTTATACTTAAGTCCTTGAAAAAGCAATAAGTCACTTCCAACACCAGCAGTCACCTCAAGTCCAACACCAGTCACCTCAAGTCCATCACCAGCAGTCACCTTAATTCCAACACTAGAAGTCACCTCAAGTCCATCACCAGCAGTCACCTCAAGCCCAACACCAGCAGTCACCTCAAGTCCATCACCAGCAGTCACCTTAATTCCAACACTAGAAGTCACCTCAAGTCCATCACCAGCAGTCACCT